CATCAGTTGGTCGTCGTGTTTAGCAGGCCACGGTGCCACACTTCAAACCAATATTCTGGTTTCTCAGTATTCGGAAGCACTTGGTCTCGAAGTCCTTCGGTCGCGTCACCATGGCCCGCGTCTGGCGGGAGATTGCGCGGCCGCTAACAGCAATGTAGTTTGGGAAGCAGCCGAAGCGAGACATAGACGGCAATGAGTTGCACCGCGGACCCTAGAAGGATCTGGCAGGAGGTTTCCGCTTTGCCCTCTTCGGCTTGAAAGCCGACGTGGAGACGCTGTCAACGGACGCGCGTCTCTTCTGTGCGCGCGTGCGTGCGCGTGCTTTGCTGTTTTTATTTTTTTGCAGCCGCGCAGGCAGGGGGGTGGTGCCCAGGGTAAGATTGCGTCGGTAGTATAACGTTGTCACTGTGTGTATGGCTGTTGTCACTGTGCACATGCCAGTTCGCAGTATGGCAGCTACCCTCTCGCAGTGGCGCGGCATCAGCGCTTGCGTTGCGCGTGTATGTTTCCGTTATTGTTGGCCGTGGGTCGCTCCCAGGAGTTCAAGCCCCCGCGGCCGACGTCCAACCAGCCCTGCGCGAAGCGTCCGTGGAATGTCACGGACATGCCGTGGTCGGACGCGTCAGATCACGCTTGCTGGATGCCTCGCGCGTGGACGGACCACGCGTGGAAGTTGCGGTTCCCAAACCATCATCCGATATTTGATTTGCCAGGTGCTTCCATCCGAATGGTGATTCTGGACCCCCTCCACGTGAAACACCTTGGAACCGATGCTTTTTTCATTGGCAGCGTATTGTGGCTCCTCTGTTATAAGCTTCTCCCCAGTAACGCATCGACCAACTTGAAGTATATGTTTGACCAGTGCCGTGCTCACTGGGATCGGGAAGGCGCATCAAGCCATTGCAGGAACCTCGAGCTTTCAATGCTTGTAAGAGAGAGAGAGAGAGAGAGAGAGAGAGAGAGAGAGAGAGCGACTTCCCGAGGCTGAAAGGCAGGGGCGCTGAGATCAAGGCGATGGCGCCCTCGACGAACTCGTGCCCCAAGGCTTGAAGATGTCTGTTCGCGTGGAAGATATATTCAATGCACATGTGCGTTGCGCGCGGCTCCCGCCAGAAGCCTCGCATGAGTTGTAGGAGAGCGCGCTTGCATTCCTGGCCGTGCAGACAGCCGCCGCTCAGATATATAATCAGAGAGTCTCCCACCCGCTCTTTCTTTTCGACGTGACGATTAAGAGCCACTGCCTGGCCCATGTCGGTCTCGAGTGTCTTCTTATGAACCACAGAACGGGGTGGAACTACACGGGCGAGCATTACGTGAGCCGCATGAAGGTAGTCGCCGCCTCGTGTTGCAAGGCCAACAGGCCCGACCAGAGCCAGCGCAAGATGAGTTCTAAGTACAGGAGCGGGTTTCACTATAGCATCACCACGGACCTGTGGAAGCACAGCTGATTTCACTGGCGAGAAAAAAGTGGATGCAAGACGCCCCCGTGGTATAATGTATCTTTTGTTGCAAGAGAGATTTTGGCATGTAAACATACGTGGGAACGCGCATGTAAATATACGTGGAATATGTCGTGCATGAATGTGTTGCGCTCGCGCGCATATAAATATACGTGGACACATTGAAGGTACGTGTATGTGCATATGATTTACATATGGGTTAAATAGTCACCGAATAATAATAAGTATTATTATCAGTATTATTATTATTATCAAAATTTTAATTCTGGGCTAAAAATGTATTTTTCACTTTGATAGTTATTTGGAGGGCAACTCGGGGATACATAGTTAAAGCGTTTAAATTTAACTACCTTGGATACGTTAAAAATAGAAAGGTTAGAAACTAGGATAACATTTAACTTAATTGTTCTGAAGGGTTTGGGGCCTCGCGGGGCCGGGATGGGTCGAATTGGGAGGGCTGGGTCTAGGCTGAGCTGCGCCAGGCGCGGAGCTCTTTCCAGGGATGGGCGGGCATCCGTCGCCTTTTGCTTTCGGGATTCTCCTCCCCTCTCCCTCTGCCCCGGTTGCCCCCTCGCGTGCGCCGTGTGCTGGCGTGGGGTGGAGCCGAGATCGGGCAAGGATTCCCGCCGACGGGCCGCGCCGGCCCCCTCCCAGGGATGGCCCCCTCTCTGCGCTCGCCCCTGGGGCTGCCGCGCGCCTGTCTCCGCGGGGAGGCCGCGCGCGCACGCGGCGGAGCTGGACGCTCGCTGGTGCTGCGGCCCTCCGGGCCCCACGCCCCCGCTTCGGGTGGGCACGCCGCTCCCCGGGCCGGCGCGGCTGGGCTGCTTGTCCCGAGCTGCTTGTCGACGGCCTTGGGGCCTGGCGAGGGCCCCCCCGCGGCCACAGATCGCAAGACACGTTCCGTTGTGATTCATTCATCGGGGGCGGCAAAGAGGGGGGTGATGACTAGGGGGGGGGGGGACACCATGGCGGGGGACATGATATTTCCCCAGATTTCATGGCGCTTCTTCTTATTTCATTACGTCTATGGCCCCCCCGCTGGGCCGCGCGCATGCCGCAGGTCATGATTTGCACCCCCCCCCCTCTTGGACACCCCCCTCTTGGCCGCTCCCGGTTTCATGGTCTTGGTGGGGCTTCGGGCTGGGCGCAGACGGCATCCCCAGGTAGTCCTGGCTGGCCTCACCAGGTCCCCCCGAGCAGTCCGTCCAGGGCAGTCTGTCGGGGGCGCCGCCGGAGTCGGCGCCAGGGTCCTGAGACCGCCCGAGACCACTCAGGCGGGGCCTGTTGAGGCCATCCGTGGCCCCCTGGGGGGGGGGGGGCTGTCTGTGCGCCACCCGAGGCCTTACCCATCCCCACCCTCCACTCCCTGAGGTTCGGCGTGTGTGACAAAATTCGACTCCGTGAAAATTCACGACCGGGGCCTCGGACCCCCTGTTTCCGCCATGTTTCCAGCCGGATCGATCTGTGAGGGCCTCGGGCCCGAAGCAGAGCAAGATCGGCCAGCGTGAAGAAGTGGCGACGCCAGGATCTCGGGGCCCTGTCCCTCCCTTCCTCCCTCCCCTCCCCTTCTGCAGCCCGCAGTGTTCGTCGGGGAATCAAGTGGTGGCCGATGGTTCAGCTGCGTGCGAGAGTGCGAGCATGTCGGCCGGAGGATCGGCACCCGACCACGGTGAGCCTCTGGGCCAGGGGCCCCAAGAGGGCTCTGACAGGCCCCCTTTACACGGTAGAGGTAGGACCCGAGGGCACGTGTTTCTCTTGTCGTCCCCAAGTCATCCCCATCTCATCCTCGTTCTCCATCTTCGTCCTCCCCATCCCCATCCTCCCATCCTCATCCTCCTCATCCTCATCCTCCCATCATCCCATCCTCTCATCTTCATCCACCCGTCCTCGTCCTCCATCCTCGCCCTCCCCCAGCCTCACCCTCCATCCCCGTCGCCCCTGCATCCTAGACCCCCGACGTCGTGATTTGTTCACAACGTCGACCCCCAGAGGTCTGGACCCGTTCCCAGGGACCGGTTTTTCATCCTGAGTCGTTTTTTGACGGCCTCGAGGCCCGGGAAGGACCCCCAGAGGCGGAGAGTAGCGGAAAACCTCCCGTCTTCGCGGGTGTTTTCACAACGCGGGGGGGTCTGGGATCCCCGGCGCCTTTCCATCACCCTCAGCCTCTCCTCTCTCCATCCCTCCCCTCCGCAGCCCCCCCGTGCCGCAGGGCCGTGCAGTCGGCGGGGGCGCGGGGGCTGCTGCCCGTGCACCTGACGCCGCCCAGTTTCCAGGCCGGCCCCCGCTTCCTGAAGTCAAAGGTCAGCACCGGCGGCGAGGCCCCGTGCCAACCCCGCGGGGCTCCTCGTCTTCCTCCTCCTCCTCCTCCTCCTCCTCCTCCTCCTCCTCCTCCTCCTCCTCCTCACCACCACCATCATCATCATCATCATCATCATCCTTCAATCATCAGCATTCTCATCATCATCATCATTCATCATCATCCTTCATCACCTCATCCTTTCATCATCATCAGCATCAGCATATCATCTCATCATCATCACATCAACATCACATCATCATCGATCATGTTATCATCATCATCACATCATCATCATCATCCTCATCCTCATCCTCTCATCCTTCTCCCCTCCTCCTCCATCTTCGGCCTCCTCCTTATCCTTCTCTTCCTCCTCCTCCTCCTCCTCCTCCTCTTTCTCCTCCTCTCCTTCACTACTCCTCCGGCATCTCGTCCTCCTCCTCCTCCCTCCCTCACCCTCCCCTACCCCTCCTCCTTCTCCTCATCCTCCTCATCTCATCCTCGTCCTCTCCTCTCCTCATCCTCCTCCCCACCTCCGCACAGTCTCCTCATCCTCCCCTCATCCTTCGCCGCCTCCTCCTCCTCCCTCCTCCTCCTCATCTGTCTCCTCATCTTCTTCCTCTCCTCCTCCTCCTCCTCCTCCTCCTCCTCCTCCTCCTCCTCCTCCGCGTCCTTCTCCTTCCTCCTCCTCCTCCTACTCCTCTCCCTCCTCATCCTCCTCCTCCCTACTCCTCGACCTCCTCCTCCTCCTCATCCTTCTCCTCCTCCTCCTCCTCCTCCACCTCTTCCTCCTCGGGTCATGGACAGAAATCAAGGCGCGCGGCTTTTTGGCAACTTTCATGAGTTCCACTTTCTCCTCCTCCTCCTCCTCCTCCTCCTCCTCATCCTCCTCCACCCCTTTCCCTTATAAGACTCCTTTTTATCGCACCCCACGACGCGTCGGTATTGCGGGCCCAGCTTTCCGCTTGAGACCGTCTTACCATCTATGCCCCAGAAGCTTGAAAGCTTGCAACAGCTACAGGGATGGAGGGCTGTTCTGTTCAAGATGTGATTCTCGCTCTAGCGCCGTGCACATTCGTCCTCAAAGCTTGCAGCCACTTCGAGGATGGAGGGGGGTCGCTTTCAAACTGGGGCGGGACGAGAACAGAGGGAGCGGGGAGAGAGGGAGGTGGGGCGTCTCAACCTGTCCCGTGCCTTCCGGCCTACCGCCATCTCGACCCCAGTGACCTCCGCGGCTGCTCCGTAGCCACTCCTGCTCGCGACGCGGGCGGCGGGGGGCACCATGGCCTCGGGCGCCGTGTCGAGGGCAGCCGTGGAGGAGGCGGCCGGTCGCATCGCGGCCTACGTGCACAGGACCCGCGTCTTCACGTGCGAGCAGATCAGCCGGCGGGCCTCCGAGGCGAGCGGCTCGCCGAGGAGGCTGTTCCTGAAGGCGGAGCACGAGCAGAAGGTCGGCGCGTTCAAGATCCGCGGGGCCATCAACGCGATATGCCAGTCCTCGGCGGACTACATCGTCACGCAGTCGAGCGGCAACCACGCGCAGGCCATCGCGCTGGGCTGCAAGCTGCTGGGGAAGAAGGCCATCGTCGTGATGCCGGAGGACTCTCCCGCCGTCAAGGTCGACGCCGTGAGGGAGTCGTACGGCGCCGAGGTGCGGTTCTGCGCGCCCAGCCAGGAGGCACGGGAGGCGATGTCCGCGGAGATCGTCGCCGCCCTGCGCAAGGAGCACGGCGCGGAGAAGTGCGAGGAGATCCACCCGAACCAGGATTCGGCGGCGCGCCCAGGGGGGAAGGCAGAGGGGGTGGGCCTTCTCGGAAGGCTCAGGAGGCCGCCGGCCTTTGGAGGGGCTTTCCGGGGCGTCTCTCCGAAGCCACGGGGCTTCTCAGAAAGCCGGGGGCCTCCGAGAAGCCCCGCCGCCTTTTGGGTAGGCCTGCCCCGTAGCCTTCATCGTCGTCGTCGTCGTCGTGGGCATCGTCGGCGTCTTCGCTGTCGTCGTCATCGGCATCGTCGGCATCGTCGCTGCCGTCGTCGGCGTCGGCCTCGTCGTCGTCGTCCGACGTCGACGTCATCGTTGCCGACGTCGTCGTCCTCCTCCTCCTCCTCCTCCTCCTCCTCCTCCTCCTCCTCCTCCCCCTCCTCCTCCCCCTCCGCCTCCTCATTCTCCTCCTCCCTTTCCCCTCTCACCCCCCCCCCTCGGCGCGCCGCCGAAGGACGTGAGGGTGATCAACGGCCAGGGCACCGTGGCCGTCGAGCTGCTGGAGCAGCAGCCGGGGCTCGACGCCGTGGTCGTGTCCATCGGCGGCGGGGGCCTCATCTCCGGCATCGCTTCGTACGTGAAGGCCGGCGACCCTCGTCGTCGACCCTCGTCGTCGACCCTCGTCGACGTCGTCGTCGTCAACGTCAACGTCAGCGTCAACGTCAACGTTGTCTTCGTCGTCGTCGTCCTCGTCGTCGTCGTCGTCGTCCTCCTCGTCGTCGTCGTCGTCGTCGTCATCGCATGTACGTGAAGGCCGTCGACCCGAGGATCAAGGTCATCCCGAAGGAGGAAAGCACGGCGCGAGCACAAACCTTCCGAGGCCCGCGCGGACGTCTCGGATCGGCGGTGCCCCCACCCCCCGCGGGGGCGCCTCTGGCCGCGCCCCGCGGCGCGCCCCGCGCGCCATTGGAGATGGGGCCCAGCGCCGATCCAAGAGCTCTGCGCGGACCTCCGAAAGCCGATGCCTGCGCCGCTTTTGCTCTGCTTCCGCGGTCGGCGCAGAGCCCGAGGCGGCGAGCAGCGCCCACAAGTCCAAGAAGGCGGGCGTCCTGGTGAAGAACCCTCCGAACACGCCCGTCCACACCATGGCGGACTCCGTCAAGAGCAGCCTCGGCGCGACGACCTTCCCGCTGGTCATGGAGCACGTGGACGCCGTCTTCACCGCGAGTGAGGCGTCGAGGAGCAAGAAACGGCACAGAGGTAAATTTTCGGAGGTCCGCGCGGAGCTCCGAAAGTGTAAGTGTAAGCGGAGGAGGAGGAGGAGGAGGAGAAGAAGAAGAAGAAGAAGGAGGAGGAGGAGAGCTGGCGAGAGCCGGAGGAGGAGGAGGAGGAGGAGGAGGAGGAGGAGGAGGAGGAGGAGGGGAGGAGGAGGAGGAGGAGGAGGAGGAGGAGGAGGAGGAGGAGGAGGAGGAGGAGGAGGAGGCGGAGGGGAGGGGGAGGAGGAGGAGGAGAGGAGGAGGCAGGAGGGAGGAGGAGGAGGAGGAGGAGGAGGCGGAGGGAGGAGGAGGAGGAGGAGGGAGGAGGGAAGGAGTAGGCGGAGGAGGAGGAGGAGGAGGAGGAGGAGGTGGGAGGAGGAGGAGGAGGAGGGGGGGGGGGGAAGGGAAGGAGGAGGCGGAGGAGGAGGAGGGGGAAGGGGGGGGGGAGGAGGCGGAGGAGGAGGAGGAGGAGGAGGAGAGGAGGAGGAAGGCGGAGGAGGAGGAGGTGGAGAGGAGGATGAGGAGGAGGCGGAGGCGGACGGCGGAGGCGGAGGAGGAGGAGGCAGGAGGAGAGGAGGAGGAGGAGGAGGAGGAGGAGGAGGAGAGGGAGGGGTCGGGAGGAGAGGAGGCGGAGGAAGGAGGAGGAGGGGAGGTAGGAGGAGAGAGGGAGGAGGAGGAGGCGGAGGGGAGGCGGAGGAGGCGGAGGAGGAGCGAGGAGGAGGAGGAGGAGGAGGAGGCGGAGGAGGAGGAGGAGGAGGCGGAGGAGGAGGTGGAGGAGGAGGAGGAGGAGGA